TCCTATAATTAGATGTGTATAGTTTGAGTATGGTACCCATGGGCTTTGGGAGAATATCAAGCCTCAGTTTGCTATGAAGACGTTAACAAGTCAAGGCCAAATACAGAGACCACCTTTGACTCATTTAGGTAACAGCATTACTAAGTTGTTGAGAGAAGGGTCCAAGCCTCTCCTAGGGGTAAGGAGAGGCAAGGAGGGGAATTTTTGTTTCTGAGGGCTCTTGGGTACCACCATAAACTCTCAGGTATGTCCACCAAGAGGGTTGGGGCACAGGGGTGGGAGGCAGGCAGAGACCCCAAGAACAAAGCAAGAAAGAAACCAGGGTCTGCCTGCAGGAAGCTGTTCACAGCCCAGTTCTTGTGTCTCCTTCAGCCAGCACCACTCTGTGCAACTCCGGGCCATCTTCTGGATAAGTTCATCAGAGACTTTCTCCAACCCAGCAAAGATTTCCTGGATCAGATCAAGACAGCTGTTGACATCATCTGTAAATTCCTTACAAATAAGTGTTTTCAACATTCAGAAGATCAGATCAAGATTCAGAAGATCATCAAGGTGAGCACTGGCCTTCCTCTCAAGGGGTGTCACTGGAAGGGGGAGAAGCAGTTACTGGCCCTCTCCAGTGCTGTCTACTCTACCATCAGAAACTTGAGGGCAAAGGGCTAAGGAAGGGAAGCTGAGGAGTTCAGGCAACTAGGATACCAGTTCTCAGTGGGGGTGTTGATAGACGTCTATGTCACCAACAGCACACCTTGGCTCATGACAATCTTTGGCGTTCCTTGGCTTGTAGACACATCCCTCCATCTCTGTCTATGTCTTCACATTGCCTCCTCCTCCTCGGGTCTTCTCCTCCTCTCTTCTCCTGCAAGAACCTTTGTCTTGGATTCAGGGCCCACCCTAATCCAGGATGATCTCATCTCGAGATCCTTAATTTAATGACATCTACAAAGATCCTTTTTCCATATAAGATCACACGTACAAGAGCCCAGTGGATCCTCTTTTGGGAGGTGTTGTGGATTGAAGTGTGTCCTCAAAAAACTATCTGATATAAATCCTCTCCCCTATTATAACCCCTGGTAATAATTTCATTTGGGAAGGGATTTTCTTTGTTACGGTAATGAGGCAGTGTCAGGATAGGGCATGTCTTAAAAGAATCTGTTTTGAGATACAGAAGAGCAGATTGAGCAAGCAGGAAGCAAGCAGAGATAGGGGAAGATAAATGCCACACCACATGACATCACCAAGGAAACAGGAACAAAAGCTGAAAATGGCCAAGGACCCCCGCCCCCAGCAGACAGAGAGAGAGAAAGCTTTTCCCAGAGCTAGTGCCCAGAATTTGCACTAGCCTCCTAAACGATGAAAAAAGGAGCCCTGATAGCGTAGGCACTTGACTGCTAACCAGAAGGCTGGAAGTTCAAACCCACCAGCCACTCCTCAGAAGGAAGGTTGGGAAATCTACTTTCGTAGTGATACCGCCTCGGAAACCCAAGGAGGGGTCGCTATGAGTCACTAGATAACTGAGACAGGAGGCCACCATTCACCCCACTATAGATTCCAAGTTCAGTGTATACTAAACCAGAAAGTAACCTCACTGGTCACCCCAACAAGTCCCAGCCCATGACTCAGTTCAGGAGCCACTCTTGTTCAGCTTTCTTTTCTTCATTAGGGGGGCTCAACAGCCAAAGGTACAGCTCTGAAGAGTGGCTCTGACGCCGACCTCATCGTGTTCCCTGACTTGATGAAAGGCTTTCCCTGCCAAAAACACAAACGAAGTGAAATCATCAGGGAAATCCATAAGCAGCTGGAAGCCTGTCAGCAGGAGGAGAAGTTTGAAGTGAAGGTTGAGATTTCCAAGTGGGAGGCTCCCAGGGTGCTAAGCTTCTCTCTGAAATCTAAAAAGTTCAATGCAGAGCTGCAGGAAAGCGTTGAGTTTGATGTGCTGCCTGCCTTTAATGTTCTAGGTAAGACTCCCCAGACCTCAGCCTGTGGAGGGGAAGACTCTGGGCATGGTGGTGGAAAGGGGTGGAGAGAAAGCCACTTGCTATGGGGCTGTAAAAACTATGCTAGAAGGCCAGAGGAACTAGATGGTGCCCGACTGCCACGACTGAACATTCCGATCAGGAACATAATAGAGAAATGCTATTATGACAAACAGGGAGAAAAATGTGGAACAGACCACAAATTCTTAAAGAATCCAGAGTTCCTAGACCTATTGAGTCTGGAGAAGTCTGAGACTATGGGCTTGAGTTGCTATTCAAACTTTGAGTTGAAACTATCCCCTGAAGTCACCCTTAAACTAACAAACAGTTTAGCCCAAAGAGTAAATATTATCACCTTTGATTATTGCATTACTTAAATACATATATAAAAATAACCAAAGGATCAACAGCTATTTTAAATCATAGATGAGAAGGTTGAAGGGGGTAGAGAGATTAAATAAATGGAAGTGAAACGACTAGAACAAAAATAATCTCAACGTTGACAGAATGTGAAGTTTAACCAATGGCACTAATCATTATGTCCAGAAACTGTGAAATGGGATTGAGTTTTGCTATGTATATTTTCACCAAAAATTAAAATATAAAAAAGGGTAGTCATGGGCCCAGAACCCCCAGCAGGTGGCATGAATGATGACAGTAGTAACTTAGACCTGTGTAAGATTTTATTCCCATTCTCTTTTAAGGTAGCCCAAGGACTATTTTAAAGTAGCCCAAGGAAGCGAGAATGGCCAGACTTCATCTCACCTATTTTGGTCATGTTGTCAGAGGGACCATTCCTTAGAGAAGGATGTCATGCTTGGTAGGGCAGAGGGTCGACGAAAGAGGGGGAGGCCTTCAACGAGATGGATTGACACAGTGGCTGCAGCGATGGGCTCAAGTATAGCAGGGATTGTGGGGCTGGCGCGGGATCGGGCAGTGTTCCTTCCACTGTGCATGGGGTCGCTTTGGGTCGGAAATGACTCGACGGCACCTAACAACAACAACAAGGACGATCAGGACCCACATCCTGTACTCTGGTATCATCCACGATATCTATCAAAGAAAGGGATACACTAGAGTTCCACACACATTTGTTGATAAAATGCCTCAAATATTAGGGAAAGAAATTAACAAACAAGCTGTGAAACAATTCTCTTTTTTTTAGGCAAACATTCTTTACTATGTAAGTTATGTATTGTTTGGTTTAAGGAAGATTTCAGGGGATATATTTGGTTGAAAGCTTAACAATTACTTCAGGGCCACAGTTTCAGAGGGTATATCCAGCCTCAATGGCTCAAGAAAGTCTGGATTCTATGAGAATTTGGAATTCTGTTCCACACATTCCCCTCCTTTTGATCAGGATTCTTCTATCGAATCTTTGATCGAAATGTTCAGCAACGGTAGCTGGGCACCATCCAGTTCTTCTTATCTCAAAGGAGGCAGCTGTTCATGGAGGCAGTTAGCCACACATCCCATCTCCTACTCCTTCCTGTTCCTGACTCTCCTTCCTCTGTTTTTCCAGATGAATAGAGACCAATCATTGTGCCTTGGATGGATGCTTGCACACTTTTAGGACCCCAGGCACTACACAGCAGACTAGGAGGTGGAACAGAAATACTAAAAACAATATTAGGCCAATTACCTGGACCCTAAATCTTGTGGGGGATTTCTGATGCCAAAACACAGGAAATTTAGGTATTTGCCTTCAAATGTTAGGCAAAATCCCCTTTATAAATTCAATTTATGGGTGATAGAGACCCACCAGCCACTCCTCAGAAGGAAGGTTGGGCAATCTACTTCCATAGTGATACTTCCTCAGAAACCCAGGAAGGGGTCGCTATGACTAGACGGCACATAATAACAACAATAACAGATACATAATTACAAATGGTGTATTAGATGCTATTTCAGTCATTTTCCAAATCATATAAAAGTCATGAAGGCCCTGGTACCTTCCCTCAGAGTAGTTCTTAGCATCTCTTAGTAACAGTAAAAATCAGAGGTCTGCAAACTCTTTCTATAAAGAGTCAAACAGTAACAATTTGCAGCTGTGAGGTTTGTGCAGGTCTCTGTTACAACTACTTGACTTTGTTGTTGTATGAAAGCAACTATAGACAATACATAAACAAATGGGTGTAGCTATGTTCCGTAGTGATACTGCCTCGGAAACCCAAGGAGGGGTCGCTATGAGTCGGGGCCGACTCGACGGCACATAACAACAACAACAACAACATGTTCCAATAACACTTTATTTACAGAAACAAACAGTGGGTCACATTTGACCTGGAGGCCATAGTTTGTGAACCCATATCAGCTCTGTCCAAGGGGTCATTCTGTGATGATGGAAGTGTTCTATGTGTTTGTTGAGTTGTTGATTTTAAAGTTTCATTATTCCAGAAATGCTCCCTATATCTTTTTTTTAATGTAATTGATTTTATATTAATTATAATATAAAATCTAATAGGAGTGGCTGGTGGGTTTGAACTGCCAGCCGTCTGGTTAGCAGTCAAGTGCCTTAGGCACTATGCTACCAGAGCTCCTAATTATAATATAAAATCAATTATTTAAAATTGCTCAGAATATACATATCTGTATATTCTGTGTATACAGAATATACACAGCAGAACACAGATACTCCCTATATCTTAAAAACCAGTTGCCATGGAGTCAATTTTGACGCATGGTTGCCCCATTGGGGTGACACTGTCAAATTGTATCAGAACAGGGAGCTCCCTAGGGTTTTCACAGCTGGTGTTTCAGAAGCAGATCACCAGACCTCTCTTCCGAGGCATCTCAGGTGGACTCGAACCACTGACCTTTCGGTCAGCAGCGAGTACGTTAATCATTTGCCCTACCCAGTCATTCAGATACACTAATAGCGTGCAAAATCATTTCCTAGAATTAAATTTATCAAAAATGTTTTCAAATAAATAAAAAAAAAAAAAGTGGGGAACAGGTTTGCTGGCCCGATGGAGTCTGGTGGAACCACTGACACTATGGCCCCTAGCTGCCCTTCAGGTCTGGAATTGAACGCACACCTGTGGCTTCCAGCCAAGCAGTAGACAGGCATATGAGTTGAACATTTACCTGAGATAGATACACTCCTTGGAGAGATCAAGCAAGAGAGAAAGAAGGGCTGCTCAGGCACAGGGAGACAGCTCAGGAGGTAGGAGTACATGGAGGGATGGTCACAGGGAAGTGCTACCTTTCGGGAGGAAGTGGGAGAGGAAGTTGCATTGTGCTAAATTGTGGTCAACGTCATGAGACAAAGTGTATGTGATCTGCTGTATGGAAAGTGTATTTGCTCTGTAAATTTTCACCCAAATCACAATAAAAAATAATAAAAAGAAAAAAATATGTTTTCAAATCTGCTCATTACCAGGCATATGATTGATGGCTTCCTGCAAATATCTCCTACACCATAGGTCATTGGGTCTCTGGCTCCATCCCCAGCCCCAGTGCCTACGCTGAGCTCATCCGTCTATACGAATCCCCAGACTACGTGGAAGGGGAGTTCTCCACCTGCTTCACAGAGCTGCAACGAGATTTCATTGGCTCCCGTCCGACCAAGCTGAAGAGTTTAATTCGCCTGGTGAAGCACTGGTACAAACAGGTATGACAGCTCTTGTTCTAGCCACTGGTTATTACATGTATTGATCGGTGCGTTGTGACCATTGAGTCGGCCCCTACCTACTGCCCCGTGAGCCCACACTCTCCCGAGCTGGGGAACAATTGCCTTAGAGGATCTGCCCACTCCAACACGAGGTTGTTATGCCTTTCTGATCACTAACCCTATTAAGTAAGATGCCATCTATCAAGGCTGCTGCTGCTGCTGGTGTTATTGTTAGCTGTCACTGAGTTAGTTGGTCCTGACTCATGGCACCTCCACGCACATCGGGACAGAATGTTGTCCAGTGCTGTGCCTTTCTGCGATTGGTGGCAGATAGGACAATGTACTATTGTGACCCATAGGGTTTTCATTGCCTGGCTTTGGGGCATAGATTGCCAGGTCTTTCTTCCTAGTCCATTTTCATTTGGAAGCTCTGCTGAAACCTATTTAGCATCCTAACATCACACAAGCTTCCGCGGGCAGGTCGGGGGTGGCTGAGCAAGGAACCAAACTCGGGGTCCCCTGCACAGAAGAGAAGACTTCTAACACTGAGTCACCCCAGCCTTATTTAAAGGATGCCACAGTGGTTACTTTGGCCCTTGCGTGGGCCTAACGATTCTGCAGGAATCCAAGTGTCCAGCCTGTGTGTATCAAAGGGTGGCTGGGAGTTGGCATTGTCAAGCCTGCAGGTCACCAGGGTGGTTTCGCAGCAGCCAGTGCCTGTGAATATAGACTTGGCTCTGATCTATGGCAAGGCTGAGCCAGCACTGCTTTTTCGATGTCGGGTTACCTCCCTTCTCCTGCACTAACCACCCTGCACGCAGAGCCGACTGAAGTAGTTTCATGAGAGCGGACGCGGAGCACAGGGTCAGCTCTTTCCTGACCTCTCCTCTCGGTTCCAGCCCCCGGAGGCTGGAGATGGGGTCTGAGGGCTGTGTCTCTCTCCTCGAAAAGCATGGGAGGGGCAGGGTGTGATGCTCAGAGGGCACAGGGCCAGCGTGTGTCCTTGAGCCAGTCACATCCCTTCCCCAAGCCTCTTCTCTGCAGCTGAAATGGAGATCCCAGTGTCTGTTCTGCAGCGTTGGATTAGGAATGATGAATGATGGCAGCGGAATGCCCCACACCTTAAGTCGCACCCGGCGGGTCGCTGTCTTTTAAGTACAGTTTATTCTATTTTGTTGTTGTTGAGACTGTACACGGCAGAATATACAGTGCTCAACACTTTGTATGTGTCCAATTCAGGGATGTGGATTATGTTATTCGAGTCGTACAACCTTCTCACCCTCCTTTTCTGAGTTGCTCCTCCCCCATCAATGTGAGCCCACTGGCCCTGAGTTTCCTACCGCATCTTTTGAGTTGCTGTGGTTATTTGATCCCATGTAGACAGATCCTAAAAGAGTGCGGTGCTCAAGGTAGGCGTTCTCTTCTCCTTAAGCTAAACTATCATTTGGTTTTAAAAAGACTTCAGGGGTATTTTTTGGTTTCAAGTTTAAAGAGGATCTCAGGATAATAGTTTCTGGAGTTTATCCAGCCTCTATAGATCCAGAAAGTCTGGATTCCATGAGATTTTAAAATTCTGTTCTGCATTTCCCCCCTTATACAGTGAGTTTTCAGTAAAGAGGAACCATGTTATTCTCCTAGGAAGGCATCTACAGCCAAAAGACAACAAAGAAACCCATGCGCTACATTTATCTTTAACAGTTGCTGTCCAGTCAATTCCAACTCATGGTGACCCTGTGCTTGTCAGAGTAGGACTGTGCTCTGCAGAGCTGTTTTTTTTTCCCCCCAGAGCCCTTCAAATAAATGCATAAGTAACTTAGCTTTTCTTTCTTTCTTTTTTTTTAATTGTGATTTGGGTGAAAATTTACAGAGCAAATTCACTTTCCATACAGCAGTTCACATACACTTTGTCCCATGACATTGACTACAAT